ATAGAGCACTCCGACTACTATCAATATATACAGAGCACACAGAGAAAAAGAGATGAGGGAAGAGAAAGAGAGGAAGAGGAAAGGAGAGAATAAAAAGAGTTATCTTTGTACTCCTATTATTCCAAATTATAATGAAAGCATCACTGCTGCCCGAAGACGTACTCCAGTCACACTGACTGTAGAGGAACCTCGTAAATTTTGTGTCTTGTTTTATTTATTCCACTGCACACAAACCGTCGATTTTACAACATGGACCCGTTTGTTTCACTTTCTTGGGTAGGAGGGGACTAGCTAGGATTTGTACGCCCATGTTTGATATGCCAAAGATTTTACTTCAATGATATTAAATCAGACTCGCCTCGACTACTGGTCTCACTAAGGCCTCATTTTAATCCCAACCGAAACCTTAGTATTAGATGGGAGTTGAAAGAAAAGGAGGCTACCAACCTCACACCACCCCTTCTGCACTTCCCTTTCTCCCTATGTTCCTCTTGTTGTACCAGGTTTATAATCCCTATCCAAACACCAATGATTTTTGCAGTTATTTTATACGATATTATTTTTTCATGAAAACCAAACGAAGTAGGGAAAAAGGCAACAAGAGAAAGTTGGTATGGAGAGGAAGAGAGAGGTGTGCTTGGCGGGGCGGCGCGGGAGGAAAAGAGCGTTGGGCTCTGTAACTATCTTTTTTCTTGAAAGCTCTGTAACTTTGTTGGTCTGTTGTTTTTTATTTAGTCAATCTCATTTCATCTCTTTTTTGGTAAGTCAATTTACATAAAGTGAACTAAACTTGATAATATTGTCAATTTACAAATTAGCCTACTAACGCTATTATTTATAATAAATAAATAAATAAATTTTGAGTAACAAAAATATTATAATATAAAATTGTCGCTCAAAATTGTTGCAGTGTGCCATCACACCCTGCGGACCTTACACCCTCTACATAAAGTAACAACAAACACCTATCAAAACAATGCATACTCCAGGAGGCTCCAAGCCTCCAACCCATGAGTACTAAACAATAACACGGTGCAAGTTTTCAGCAAGTATTCCCCAAAATGTCTTCACCTTTTTAGTAGAAACCTATCGAAATATCTTCACATTTTCAATGGAGGCCATCAAAAGCCTATATCGAATTTAGGGTTTCCTAAGCAATAAGATGCCCTTAAAATTGATGCAAAATGAGAATAAAAAAAAATAACAAGCCATATAACAAGATATGTTCATGTAATTACCAGCAACATATGATTTGATGGATCCGAAACTACTGGAAAGGTACTCTAAACGAGTCATGAAGAGCCCACTTGAGTATTTGTTCAGCTTATCACTTAACGACAGTTACGTCATCACTTAACAATAATAATGATTTGTTAAATTGCACCTTTTTTTTTTCTTTTTTAACTCTAGCATGTAATACACGTAGTACCTTACACTTTATTTACACGTTTTTCAATAATACATATAAAGTTCACCTATTTTGACACATTATTAAAGAAATTAATACGTATTATAATTTTTTTTTAAATGGCCGAATTTTTCAAATTGTTTTTTCGAACAAAGTTGCTGAATAATAGATATACTTATACTTCACATGTACATATACGTTATGTATTTTACTAACTATGAGCTTAAGACTTAAGGTCAACTAATTAACAATTTAAATAAAGTTCTCTTCATAACTTATTCTTATAACTTGGGTTAGAAACAACATATGCCCATGCAGAATGTAAGGCCATCGGCCAAAGGGCTCGTTTTAGTTCTCTGGTTCTTCAAGAAATTAATATTTTAATAAACAGTGTAGGGCCATATTTCTTACCATCTTCAACCGATGGTCATAGGGCCAAACATAATTTATTATTTAAATTTAAAAACTACAACAACTTATATTTAAAAACTACATGAGACGCTATAAGATGATATGTTCCCATGCCACAAACAAGTACCTTCAACAGGATCCTGTTGAACATCTTTGGGCCAAAAGAAGCATGGAATAGGCGTTTAAGTTTTATATTGTTAAATGTTTTTAAAAATGTTGTTTAAGTTTCTTGTTGTTAAATGTTTTTTTTATCTTGTATAATTTTTATGTTGTTTAATATTGTTAAATGTTATTTCATATTACTTAATGTTATTTAATGGCTTAGGAAGTTACAGAAAAAAAATAGAATTAAATTTTTTTTTTTTCAATTTTTGTAAAAAAAAAAAAAAAAAAGTTTTGGAATTCAAATCCGACACTGCCAGGGGCTGGCTGGTTGGTCCCTTTGGGCCAGCTGATTGGTCCTTTGGCCTTTTTTTGTCCAGTGGGGTCCACAAGCCCTTTGGCTTGGCTCTTAGTTAAAGACCGGTTTCAGGCTATTTTCGGCCCTTTAACCATCTGAACCTTTCGGTTGGAGATGATCTAAACAGCTTGCAATCAGTCCATTTACATTTACTTTGCGAAATTCATTCATATATCATCTTTTTAGCCCTTCTATTAGCCCAAGCTCTTTATTTAGGCCATCCAATTCCATGAATGCCCAATTACCCATAGTTTCAGCCCAAAACGTATGATTCAGTCATAACAATACCTATTTCAAAAGAAATATGTTGCAAATAATACCAAAATTTTGTCACAAGACAACCCAATATGGGATTTCTGATTCATTGGCAAGCATTTTTCTTGTCATAATTGAGTAAGAACCTTTTATGATACTGATATGAGCCTTGTGCTCCTTTCGCTGCACTTAAGTTCAAATTTTCTTCTTATTGTTACGATGAGTTTAATGGAGAATATTGTGACAATCCGTCCCTAATTTTACGTTTTTATTTATTTTAAAAGTGTGAATTTACAAAAATGCCCTAGAGGCAATGACTTTGACTTCTGTTGATCATCATCTAGAGAGACGTAGGACTTATCCTTTTAGCGTATTCTCGTAGTAATCGTCACTACGAACACATAGGCGAAAGTCGTTTGCAAGTCCGGATTCTAACGGTATAGTTACAAACGTTTGAAATTGGTTATTCAAAGTTTAGTTTTAATTAAATTGAACTTCCGTCTTGTGGGAAAGAAGCCCAATCAGATTTTAAGCAAGTATAAGGGGGCCAATCGTTTAAGTGACCAATCAGAAATTAGAGAGAGGGATCAGCCAATCAGGAAAGAGAGAGAAGAACCTCATCCCTTTCCCTTTCAACCCATGCAACCCAGTTCGACCTCCCATTTTCTAAGGCCGATTCCAGCCAACTCCGGTGGAGTTTTTCAACACCACCACCACCATATTGAAGTTGTCATTCTCCTCTACAAAACCACCCCAAGAACCACCTTGATTGACCATGGTATATGGCAGTTTAAGGCCATGAAAGTCAATGAAAATCAACAGTGCTCCAGCCACTCTTTTCAATTTTCCGGCGAATCGGTAAAACGATGGCCGATGCCACCACTTAGGCTTTGTAGCCCATCATCCCTGGAGAAAATCCCAACCTACCTTGACCCCGTTGGACCACCGTAGACGATGAATCGACACTGGGAAGCTTTAGGCACCCGCCGGCTTTGTGGGCAAAATTGACCATCTTCCGTCCACTTTTGGACTTCGTGGCAAGTATGAAAGTTGTTCCTCTCTTTGAGATCTTTATTTTTGTGAAATTTGAGAATTTTTAGAAATAGTGGAATTTTCCGGCGAACCGTGGCGGCCAGCCACCGCGTACGGCGGTGCGTGGGGATGCTCCAATTCTATATTTGACATCCGTTCAGTGAAATTACGATGTTTTAATGTAGTTTCGTAGTTGACCACCTAGTTGGCTGTCACGGGGTCCTTGCATGAATTGACGTTCCGACTATTGGATCATTTCGAAACTTTAGGATGTTGTTCTAGAAGCATAATGTGGATCTTTGGAAGTTATGGATCGGAAATCTGAGGTACGGATCTTCCGGATCAAGTTATGTAAGGTTGTGGACCCTACCGTCCACCTTTGATCGACAGTTGACTTTTGATCAATGGGTTTCAAATCATTTTAGAACGTCCATAAGGATGTGTTTTATGTGAGATGTGAGTTCTATTGATAAAAATTCTGAGACGTGATTTGATAATTGTTTTAGGTGACGATCGTTCGTGACGCCTTGATATTCGTGCGAGGGAGTTGTAGCGCGGACTTCAGGTGAGTGGGCAGTTTATTTTATACCTATACATATTGATAGTTTCCCTAAATGCGTATTTACTTCATTTTTACGCTTATTGTCAAGTATTCATTATTGTGATACAAATTGTGATAAATGTTGCTATATGGTTGAGAAATTACTCTCATGACATTCATACATATCTATACATGCTCATTTTGCTGCACCGGTGTTAGTACTCACCCCAGGCCAGGGCCAGTCATTTACGTGTATGTTCACATCGCACTGTTCGCTCGCCTTGGATCCAAGTTAGGTGCCAGTCCTGTCGGGCAGGCTTCTGTACTAGTTTTCACGTGATCGTAGTACTAGAGCGTATTAATTACGCCTAGTCCTGTCGTACAGGTTGCATTATGCAACTCCGACTCGTGTGCTAGCATAGATTGATGAGCAATTGATTATACTTGATTATCACATGATTATATTACTGTGGCATTTGATATTTCATGACTTGGTATATTTCTGGTTATAATGCTGTTGTATTATTGTTTACATACTTACGTAGTATGTTTTAAGGAAACTATACTTGTTTTACAGTAAGGGGTTAGTATATTCAAAAATAAAGGTTTTTCCACTACACTACATTTTATGGTTTCGTCACCCTCCAGGTGTCGGTGAGCACAACTTGATTCGGAGTCCAAGTGGCCCTATAAGATTTTCCAACATATATAATTTATGCATCTGTTCCCTCCCTCCATCCATGATACTCGTTCCTCCCTGCACAAATGGCGGGTTTCTGTTATTTGAACCAACACTGCATCACAGAAAACCAAAACAAATAACAAGCCAATATTATTTTTTGCAAGTTATTCATTGATGCCTAAATTGTTCTGAGAGGAATAACAACAAAACAATGAAGAAGGAGGTGGTGGTGATGGCAACAGTGACAGCAACCGCCACAGTGGTAGTGGCAGCAGTTTTACTGAGACAGTGGAAGAGGAAGAAGCAGCGTCAATGGAGAGAAACACAAAAAATACTACGCAAATTTGCAAGGGACTGCTCCACTCCGGTGCCAAAGCTTTGGCAGGTCTCAAATGCCTTGGTGTCTGACATGAAAGCTTGCCTCGCTTCCAGTGGAACCATTACAACTCTCAACATGCTTGTTTCCTACGTTTCTCCCCTCCCCACCGGGTAGGCTACATCCTCGATTGCTCACTTGGGCTTTAGTACTATTATTTCGGCGATGTGGGTTAGGCAGGGCAGTGTGTTCGCTCATTTTCATCATCGAGTTGGAATCCCCTTACTCAGTATAGGATAGTCTAGAATTTATAATAGAATATCGCGTTGAAGAAAAAGAAAATAATACTACTATTTTCTCTTAAAATATTGATTTGAGATGTGTTTTGGTGTGGTGGCAGAGATGAGGAAGGATTTTATTATGGCGTAAATTTAAGGGGAACAAACTTCTTGATCTTGTGTGCCAGAATTGGAGGGAAGAACAACCCCATTTCAGATTTACATAGGGAGGAGATTCCCATTCCCTCCAATCTCATGGCTGCTACTTCAAAGGTGCATATGGATAATTAAATTTTTGGAGTAGATTCAGCTTCAAGGATGATTTGTTTTTTCTTTCTTCTTTTGGGGGAAATGAATCCTCTACTTCTGTTATTAGTGCTTATATTGCGCTTATGTTCAAAACGGCGTAGTCATTTTAATTATCAGGTTAAAAGTTCTGGACAAGAACTTTAAGAAGTGACTAGAAGATCATATTAGGCACCAATGAGATTTCTCCCAATAGACGTGGCACGAGTGAAATATTCCCAATAATTACCGGATCCAGATTACTCGAGGCATGAAACAAAATACCTTTATATAAGCATAATATCAGCACCAAATATATGCAGATGATGTGAACAAATAATTTTTTTTAATTTAAATTAGAGCATGCATTGTCACAATTTTTTTCATTTACTCATTAAAAACTTGAGTTTGATCAACTTGTGTTTCATCGACTTAAGTGAAATGATGAATATGATGTATATGTTTTTCTCATTAAACAGGAATTATTTGATTTTATTGCTGTGGAGCTAGGAAAGTTTGTTTCGGAACATCCCAATACGTTGGCAAAGGAGCTGAGCAAACTTGGTTGTATAGTGTCATGTCCGGTCGAACAATCTGTTGTCTCCGATGGAACCGCTATCAAATGGAAGAGTTTCTCAGCTGATAGCAAAGTTAGATTATATTTACTCCTTTTTCTTGGTATTTTACACGCAATGCTGCAGTAAATTAACTGCCTAAGTTTGAGATTTGGGAAGCATTATTTTTTCCAATATATCATTGTAAATGCACCAATTTTAACCATTTTTTTTTTGTACAATACTACAATGAGATCAGGTTGGAAGGAAGTTGGTGAGTGACTTCAACAAAGCTCTGGAGGAACATGGAGTGAAATTGCGGGTTTACGCAATGGTATGCAACTCCCGTGGTTTATGCTACTCCAACATGTAACTTGATTTCACTACGACAAAAAACAATTCCTTGCAATTGATTCAGCTATCTTCTTGAGCAGGTTGATGATACCGTAGGAAATTTGGCAGGAGGTAGATACTACAACAGAGAATGTGTGGCTGCGGTTACTCTAGCAATGGGCACGGATGCTGCTTATGTAGAGCCTGCAAATGCAACTCTCCAGTGGCATGGTCCATCGCCTAAATTAGGCGACATGGTTAGCGTCTGGAATTTTTTAATTATACAGTACGTGAACGGCACAGTTAAATATCTGCTTAGTTTTGCAGGTAATTAGCACACAGTGGGGAGGTTTCAGTTCTCCTCATCTTCCAATAACCATCTTTGATACTTGTTTAGATGCTGAAAGCCCAAATCCTGGATGCCGGGTAAGGCAAACCTTGTACTACAAGTCTCCAATCTTTCAAAATGCATATCTTTTCTGCTTTTGCTTCTAATCCAGTTTTGCCTCAGAGATTTGAGAAGCTGATTTCGGGAATGTATCTGGGAGAGATTGTGAGAAGAGTATTACTGAAGATGGCACAGGAAACAGCAGTGTTTGGGGACACAGTGCCTTCGAAACTCTTGACTCCTTACCAATTGAGGTGCACAACAAAGTCTTAATGTGAATGCACAATTGCTGTTAGCTGCATCACCTTCTAGTCTTGTGGTTTGAATTTTGGAAATCTTGGATGATTGGATCTCATTGAATCATTCAGCTGCTAATAGTATTTTACTTACAATTTCATCTAGTTCACCTGATATGGCTGCCATGCATCAAGATACATCAGAGGATCACAAAATTGTTGGAGAAAAACTGAAGAAAGTTTTTGGGGTAAGGTTTCAGCCAGTGAAGTAATAAAACAGTACCTGAAGTAGTTTTCAATCTTAATGACGCACAAAATAGTTAAATACTTTAACTCTTTTGCTCCATGATTACCAGATCACTAGTACTTCTCCAAGGGCGAGGGCGGTAGTTTCGGAGGTTTGTGACATCGTTGCAGAACGTGGAGCCCGTCTTTCTGGAGCTGGCATTCTTGGCATAATTAAGAAGCTTGGGAGAATTGAAAACAAGAAAAGTGTAGTTACTGTGGAAGGTGGGCTTTACGAGCACTATAGAGTCTTCAGAAATTATCTCAACAGCAGTGTGTGGGAAATGCTTGGGAATGATCTTTCAGACAATGTTGTTATTGAACATTCTCATGGTGGTTCAGGAACTGGAGCCCTATTTCTTGCAGCATCTCAAATGCAAATGCAGAATGACGATCCTGACCCTGATCCTGAACCTCGTCATCATGATGATGAACCTGATATTGATGATGCCCATCCTGATATTGACGATCATGATCATGAGCATGGTAATGACGTTCGTGATCCTAATCTGAACTGAAATTCTTGCCACTTTTCTTTTTAGCATTACAACCAAACTTTTTTGTCACATTTTTTTATTTTCCTTTTCATATTGTTTCGGATTCGCGGAACTAGCTCTAGAATCACTTCCGGAGAACCTATAAAAGATGCTTTTAAGATACATTCAACATTTGTTCATGTTCAAATATGGTTATAAGATAGTAGTTTTTGTAACATCAATGTGACTTGCAGAACAAGTTAGTTGGATATATGCTTTAGATTTTACTTGTTTTTATGAAACATTCAACACTTTATCGTCTAGAAATTTTATGTAAACTTTCAAGGTATGAGCACTTGAATGAAACATGGTAAAATACTAAAAATATATATGACAATATTTGGGAATATCTTGTACATTCATTAATCTCCAAAGTGGAGTATATATAGGAGTTATAATTGGTATTACATCTGCATTTCGTCAATCTGTGACAACAGACTACTATTTAAACTTTAACTAATATATAAATATATAACTTGCAACACTCCCCCTCAAGTTGGAGTAAAGATGTCAAGAATGCCCAACTCGTCAAGCGAGTTGGAAAACACACTATTAGAAACAACCTTAGTATGCACATCAGCAAGTTGATCTTGAGATCACACAAACGAAAAATTAATAATTCCAGCATCCAATTTTTCCTTGATGAAATGTCGATCAATCTCCACATGTTTTGTTCAATCATGTTGCATTGGATTATGAGCAATCTCAATAGCAACCTTGTTATCACAAAGAAGTTTCATAGCACCCTTGGGTTTAAATCCAAGATCTCTCAACAATTTTTTCAACCACAACAACTCACATACACCATTAGACATACCGCAAAACTCAACTTCAACACTTGACCTAGCCACCACTTTTTGTTTCTTGCTTCTCCAAGTAACTAGATTACCATCCACAAAAGTAAAGAATCCAGATGTAGATTGCCGATCAGTGACAGAACCAACCCTATCTTCATTTGTATACCCTTCTACATTCAAATGACCATTCTTGGAGAAAACCAAGCCTCTGCTAGGAGCCATCTTCAAGTACCTCGAAATACTGATTACTTCATCCATATGAGCTTCATGAGGTGAGTGCATAAACTAACTTACCACACCAACTGCATAAGCAATGTCAGGGCGAGTGTGAGACAAATAAATTAATCCCACCACAAGCTTCTAATGTCGTTCTTTATCAGTAGGAACTTGATCCGGAAATAAGCCTAGACGATGATTCTGCTCAATCGGAGTATCAACATGTTTGCAATCTAACATACCTGTTTCAGCTAAGAAATCAAGAACATACTTTCGTTGAGACAAAAAAAAATACCATGCTTTGATCGTGCAACCACGATTCCAAGAAAATACTTCAATTCACTCAATTTTTTCATCTCAAATTCAGTAGCTAGGTACTTTTGAAGCCGTTGTACCTCATGTTGATCATCACCAGTCATTATCTTGTCATCAACATAAATAATCAATGCAGTTAGCTTACCATTTCGTCGTTTTAGAAACAAAGTATGATCTGAATCACTCCAGAAATACCCAAACTTCTTCATTGAACTTGTAAACCTCCCAAACCACACTCTAGGAGATTGTTTCAAACCATACAAAACCTTTCGCAATCTGCATACAACACCTTTTTCAAGAGATATACTGATACTAGGTGGGAGATCCATATAAACTTCCTCCTTAAGATCACCATGAAGGAAAGCATTTAACATCAAACTGCCAATTCTAGTTTGCTGCTAAGGACAGAAGAACACAAACAATGTTAAGTTTGGCAACAGGAGCACAAGTCTCCTGATAGTCCACACCATAGGTTTGAGTATAACCCTTAGCAACTAATATGGCTTTATACTAGTCAATAAAACCATCTGTTTTATGCTTAATAGTGAACACCCATCTACATGCAACAACTTTCTTCCCATTTGGCAACAGAACCAAATCCCAAGTGGAATTCTTTTCCAAAGCTTCCATCTCAACATTTATGGCATAACCCACTTAGGGTCAGACAAAACATCCTGCAATTTTGTTAGAACCGATACTCTAGATAGTTGACATATGTAAGATGCATATTGTTGGAAATGTGCCCTAAAACCAATCATATGATGATACTTTACGGACATTTCAAACTAATGTAGTTTAAAGGGCAAACATTATTGTTTGAGCCGTCTCATATAAATGTTATATGCTTAAACGATAAGTCCAAGGAATATGTGATTGGAAGAATGCGATCTAAAGAAGTTAGATTCATGAGACCATTCTTTCGTTGACACATCCTAAACGTTCCTGATCATAGGATTGTCAATTGGGCATTGACAGTCCGTTAAGATCAGTACGTGCTATGTCTTCTCTCAGGGAGAGTGATTAGTCTCGAGTCATTGGTGTGAGTGACACCAAGACAAGCATGTAGGTGCTCAATAGAGAATGAGTTCACTGAACACGATCAACGAAGAGTTCTCATATTCATGTCACATGAGAACTCATGGTTGGGATAATGCAAATTAGTCTTTTGACCTGAGGCATCACAGTTGTCTTGTGGTTAGGTCCTTAATCTTTGATTATGTCAACGTCACTCTATCAGGGTGTCCACGGCATCGTTGGGGTTAAGCCACTTAGCCATGGAGGCAAGTGAATGCGCAACAAGGGATCTCTAACCTTCAAACTGTTTGAGGGAGAATACTCTATGATATGATTTGGAATCTCTGGCCAGAGTATGAATGAAATGTTGGAATGCGTTCCAGATCACATTCAAGGTAATCATATAAGCACAAGATTCACATTGGATAGTAGACATGAATAAACTATCAAACCAAACAATGTGGTCAAGAGTATTGTATTAGAGAAAGATCGTATTGCATTTGTAATCCTAAACTGAATAGGTTCTCCACCTCTTCTGATTAGCTTAGGTAACCATGATATGCTGCTAGGTGTCACTCATGGTTTGTGGAAGCCCTAAAAGTGTATTATCACTAACGGGAGAATTGAAAGTAAGTTTCAATTCACAATCGATTTGAAAGAGTTTGAATCGCCCACTGCCTCGCTAAAAGGAACCTAATGGATCGTACACCGTGTAAGGTAGAGTTTGAAGATTCAACGGAGATGAGTAAGAATAATTAAATGGTTTAATTATTTATGGCAAGGATTAATTAATATGTTAATTAATCAAACGAATAAGTTCGTTAAAAACCTCGGGTTAGTTTTGGGCCGCAAGGCCCAATGGGATTTGAATGTCAAGCCCATTAACTCAAGTTGTATGACAACTTGAATAAAACAAAGGGCTTGAAAGCCCAATAAACCTATAGGCTAGCCATGTGTAAAAGAATAGGGCTTTTGGTCCATTAGGTCACTTATTTGAAGAGACTATATAAAGGACTTTATAGCCTAAAATTTACTAAGGGTCATTAAGGGTTATTTTTGGGGGAAAGGATGAGAACACAAGCTCTCCTTTCTCTCTAAAATTTTGGCCAATCTAGAGGGGAATAGCTAGCAATCTTACTTCCTCTAGGTCACTCATTTCTTCTACAATATACCTTGGTGTGGAGACTTAGAGGTTCTCAATTTTGGGAACTTGGAGAAACCTTTTCATCCATCCAAATCCATGGATCCAAGATGCAAGGAATGAAGGCCCTCTCTTTGGGTGATTAGCCTTTGCTTATGCAAAGAGGAATCTACAAAGGTATTGATTTCTCAACTCACTTTGTTTTGAGTTGAGTCTTGATTCACCTATCTACTAGGCTTTGAATTTCATGGGTAAATGTTTTGTTTTAAGTGCATACAAGCATGATTCCGCCTTTAATTGTTAATTGCATGCTATTGATGTTGCTTAAATGAACATGTTTTTCACAAATTTTCCTTCACATATGGTTTGGACAAACGATGAGTAGACACATAGTTGTTGATAGGATACTTGGCTTTAGCATGCATATCAAGCTCATATTGTACTTTAGGTTTTCCACGATTAACTCGTGGAGGCAACTGATAAGTAGAAGAATTATTAGAATTTACCTTATGTGTGTCACCATCTTGTACCAAACCATTAGAAGAATTATCACTAAACAAACCACCAACAGGCAACTTGTTAGTCATACCAGTAGCAGGTAACCCGTCAAACATACCAACAACAGGTAACTCGTTGGGCACATCCAACGGGTCATCAGTAGAAATAGTCTCGGGAATGACAATTGATCGATCGCCATTATAGCCGACTAGTCAATATCACGCAGCATAACAGGTTTTGTCCCTAACTCTGCTTGTAACACATCATCCATACCATATCTTCGAATATGCACTTCACTCCCCCCCTTTCTCTCTCCCTAAAATGGAGAGTTGGAAGAGGGCTTCAAAAAATACATAACTTCCTCATGGAATGTGACATCCATGGTAATATAAGTTTTCTGAGTCGGAGGATGATAACACTTATAGCCTTTCTGGTTGTTAGCATATCCAATAAATACACATCGGAGAGCACATGCATCAAGTTTACTCCATTGATGAGAACAAACTGCTCTGATGCCAAGTTGAATTAAACACGATAAAACACCAAAAATATATATGACAATATTTGAGAATTTCTTGTATATTCATTAATCTCCAAAGTGGAGTATATATAGGAGTTACAATTAGTATTATATATGCACTTCGTCAATGTGGAACAACAAACTAGTATTTACACTTTAACTAATATATAAATATATAACTCACAACATGAGCTTCATGCAAAATACAGATTTCTCCTTGTACCAATAGAAAAAAACAATTTCTGCAGAACACAAAAAATACCAAGAGCGAAATGGTAATCTGCAGTTTGCAGAATTCTCAACCACCTCAACCCTTCACCCCCCAAAACAAAGGCTTGTGAAAAATGATAATGCAAGAGAAGACAAGAAAAAATGGAAAGTGACTGATGCAAAACTGAGATGAAATTGTAAGAATCTTGTGAGCCTGTTATTTTTGTCAATTAGGTCAAGAAAAAATTGAAGTATCCTGTTCAAAGAGGCA